GGACGATATCCGCTTCGTCATGCCTGGAGCTGATCTGTGCTGGTCGCTGAGGAAATACTTCAACTTCGCGCTGTGGATCGCCAAATCGGCTTTCACCGTGGACGAAGCGGAGTCCAGCCGGGGTCATCACATGTGGTTGCCACAAGCCCGCCGGCCACTCCTTCGTCGAATCCGCCGACCGCGCTGTTCTCAAGCCCACTGTGTTTCGTTTGGCCTTCCAAAAGAGGACACAACTAGAAATCAGTGGTTAAGTTGTATTTACAACACTGTTCCAGAACAGTTCAACCCAAATATTCAGATGTGTCCAGCGCATTTTATGGAGGACTGTTTCCTGATCCTGGTAGAGGAGACTACAATGCCGGCTGTTCTGACTCACAGACTGAAAGTACGTTTTCATTTAAAAGATTTGCCACTGATGATTCAAACGTGAGTTCTGAGCAGTGTAGAGTAGCGCTTGTTATTTGTCATATCTCCGATCACAAATGCAGACATGGTTTTATGTTTACGCGGTGCAATGCAACACAACGTGTAAAAAGACAGTATAAGTCATTATAATCCGTAATTATGTCCCCACTGGATGCAACAATGCCTCGTTTATAATGGGTTTTAATGTTTTTGTCTCGTCGCTCCGGCCAGACAGGGCATCACAGTATGGCAAGAGGCGTAACATTTCCGTCACACGCTTGAGGTATTCGGCCAATCACAACGCACTGGATAGCTGACTAATCAGAGCACACTTTGCTTTTCAGACCGATGAGCTTTGTAAAAATTTACGCGTTTCAGAAAGGCGGGGCATAGAGGAGAAACAATAATGTACAGTATGTGGAAAATAATGTGTTTTTTGAACCTTAAACTGCATAAACACATTTCATTACACCAAATACACAAAATACTGTTCTTTTTTAGCAACATCATATGACCCCTTTAAGCTTGGAAGAGCCAGGGCATTTTTTTATATAACTCCAATTGTACTCCACACTGCCTTGTGTGCAATCTAAATGTTTATATACTTGTATGTGTGCAAGTGTATTGTAACTTAAAAGTACAGCTCTTTTTCTTACAGTTTGGTGGTCCACCAATGCCAGGAGTTCCTGCTCAGGGTATGGCAATGCCAGGGGTTCCTGCTGCAGGTGGTTACCCAGCACAGTCATATGGGGGTTACCCTGGGGCATTTCCTGCTCCTTCTGCCCAGGACCCAATGTGGAGATATTTCACAGCAATAGCTGGTCAGGTAAGAGCAGCCTGTGTGAATATGGATATAGCCCAATGTCTTTTCTGTCCCCTCATGTTGTTCATGTAGTAACATGATTGTTATATCAGGACGGTGAAGTTGATGCTGAAGAACTTCAAAGGTGCCTCACCCAGACTGGAATCAGTGGCACCTACACTCGTAAGTATAGAGAGTAGAAATAGAAATTGCAGTTCCAAATAAATAGAGTGAGTGGATCATCTTGTAACACTTTATTTTGATAGCCCACTTTAGACATTCTTTTAACAATAATAAGGAACTTTGCAACTCCATGTCAACTACCAGTCATTATAGTGTTAGTAGACTGTCTGTAGATTTTGATGGTCAACAGACATTCGACTGACTTTAAGTAACTTTGCAAGAACAGGTCAATGTATTGTACTTGGTGTTAGTAGAATACATTGACCTGTTCTTGCAAAGTTACTTAAGCCTAATAGTCTACTAATACTCTGTTGAGAGTTAGGTGTCTAAACTGATCATCTCACTGCTTTGTCCCCCAGCCTTCAGTTTGGAAACCTGCAGGATTATGATTGCCATGCTGGATGTATCCTTCACAGAAACATGAAACAGATCTGGCACTGTTCTTATCTCTCCAACTTGAGTCAAAAGTTTGTTTCACGCTAGTCCCAGTTACCCAGTAGAATTCTTGTTGTGGTTTAGTTTCTTTAACCATGTGTGTGCAGAGAGATTACACTGGAAAGATGGGTTTCGATGAGTTTAAAGAACTCTTTTCAGTGCTCTGTTCTTATCTCTCCAACTTGAGTCAAAAGTTTGTTTCACGCTAGTCCCAGTAACCCAGTAGTTGCCGTCTTGTTGTGGTTTAGTTTCTTTAACCATGTGTGTGCAGAGAGATTACACTGGAAAGATGGGTTTCGATGAGTTTAAAGAACTCTTTTCAGTGTTAAACGGCTGGAAGCAGAACTTTGTAATGGTGGACAGGGACTGCAGTGGAACGGTGGAACCTCATGAGATGTCCCAGTGCATTGCTAACATGGGTGAGTGGTCACTTAATTTCTATCAACTGAGATTAAAAAGTACCTAGTTCTCAGGGCAAAATATATCTCAAAGAACAAATAATAGGTCACTCATTTGGAGCTTTAAGATAAAATCAAACTGAAAACTGAATTTTTCTAAAAGGGATCTCTTAGCCAACACAGTTGCACCAAAAGAGCTATGTGAATAAGACTGTGATGTAATCGAATATTTTGTGACATGATTGCACAGGGTTCCGAATCAGCCCTCAGTCTCTGAACGCAATCATCAAACGCTACAGCAGATCAGGAAAGATCTACTTTGATGACTATGTGGCCTGTTTCGTGAGGCTAAGGGCACTTACAGGTGAGGATTTTTGTAAAAATGGAGCAATGCTAATAGTTATACTGAGTATTCTGTTTAAATACTAAGTCTTTTTAAAATGTATTAATGATTAAAAATTTGACTTTTTTCAATAGACAACTTCAGGAGGAGAGATACAATGCAGCAAGGAATGGTGAACTTCCAGTATGATGATGTAAGTGATCATTAAACTAATTTGTCACATTTAGTGCCTATTTTTCTGCCTCACTGGCACTTAATTGTTAACATCAGAGATGGTTTTAACTGGAACAGCCGCTTTACACTGAATGATTGTGGAAGTAATAGATTACTTCATTGAAAGCTGTTTAACATGTTGTAACAATATCTTCAATTTCCTCTTGCAGTTCATCTTGTGTACTATGTCTCTCTAAGGAAGTTACAGACAAGTACAGTATGTACTCCAGGAAGAGCACTGAAAGTCCAGAGAAATACATATAAACTACTATATATAGTATGATGTGTAATATGTGAACATAGGAGTAAAACCTATAATTTACTCGAAACAGCTTTCAATATTTGTGCCAAAGTAGACAGTTGTTTTTTTTAACAATCTTTTTCATATTCTTTATAACTCATTGTATTGTTAAAATGTAACCACACAACATATTTTACCAATAAAACATGGTGTATCTTAAGAGTTGTGTTCTGGCTTTTAGACACAAGGACAGTGAGGAGTGCTGTCAAGGTAAAAATCTTAGCATTGAGAGGGATATTATAAAGCAATGAGAGTACCCTTTTAGTCTCTCTTTTTGATATTCAATACATATTTGAACGTTATTTTAAATTATTCTTGTTACAAATTGTACAAATATGCACCAGCAACAGAACAATTTCTGTGTCTTTTCAATTTCAGAAGAATCCACTTAGGAATTAATAGTATAGTTGATATGCAAAACATAATGGTTCAATATATCAGATCTACTTAAATAAAATTCAAATAAAACAAGGAATAAATAAAAAAAAGACATGTACACGGTGATGCTGTTGCATCACTTAACAAACAAGTTTTATTAGTCATCACAAGATACAAAATATGTTTTTTTTTATAATACTATTATATATTTATATATATAATAGATTTGTTTTACTGATTTGCAAGAAGAATAGAACATTTAAACTGACCACAATAACCAGAAAGAGAGAAAAGTAGAGAAAGAGATTTTGACCAAGGAGGAAAAGAAAAGAGGGAATTCTATCTGTTTGTCTGGCTTCGCCATAATTCTCATTGCAGATCAGCATTGTTCTCCAGAATCTGATCTGAAATTCAACACATCCTCCACTTTAAATTCTTGCAGTCACATCAGCATTTGACTTGGAGTTCTCATCAAATTAAGTGTGATGGATTTGTCACTGAAATGAAGAAATGTGGAGTCGCTAGGGTGAACCGTGGAGACACATGTATAGGCTCAAATGGAATCTGTGCACTTTTTTTCCACATTATGTTCTGCTTGTGCGGGCAGTTGTCATAATTCTGTGTAATAGATTAAAACTGTAAAATGGAAATCAGTGAACATGCAAGGGGCAGAGGGATGGTTAGAATTCTGAGGGCACACATTCCATGCAAGCCTACACTTGACCATGGCTTAAGTTGAACATGAGACCCAACAACAGCAACGCTTATGCTCAGGACACTTTCTGGTTTTCCTCCAAAGTAAACAAGAGGATTGTGAAGCAAACTCACTAAACAATGATGAAGTGTACGTAACAGGACTAAGTCATCACCACGGTGAAACAGAGGGCCGCGTAAGAGAAAGCAAACACGGAGAAACGCACTTCCCTTTAGATAATTACATCTTTGTTACCAAGAGTGAAGGCAAGGAAGAAATCAGATCCTGAAGAGCTTAAATATAGGCCCAAGTAGTATATTTTTGTGTGTGTGTGAGCATTAATTGAAAGGAGATTTGATATTACATGCTGTAGGAATGTAATATTGGGCAGAACTGGTTGGGATATGTGGTTTTGAGTGTTTAAGTGCAGGAAAGCAGCAAAAATGAGTAGGGATGGCACTGTGTAATTTTGAAGTCAATTAATTTAACATGTTATTTTTCTGTTTTAATCACAAACATAAGCCTACATGACGCTTATAATGGTTTCACAAAATAAATTAAACTATGCCTTTCTTAAAAAAAAGAAAATCAAGATTTAATAATAATAAAAACTCTATAATAAATAAAATCTAATTTTAATGTTTTATATCTGTTATTTACTTATTTTATCATTTAACTTAATATATTCAGAATTACAAGTGCTATAAGTTGACACTTTAATTTGCTAATAGCAGAATCTGCTGCGAAGAAAAAAAAAAGGCTGCACAAATAGTTTCTCACAAAAAGTTGGTAGTTTAGCACTTGGCACCATAAAAGTGGATCTTTATCTAGTGGAAAGCATGACTCTAACAAGAACCATAAAGATTAAAATATTGCACAATCAAATTTCTCACCCCTCTATAGCAGAGTGCATCCCAACACACTTTAGCTGTAACTTGATTTAAGTGAAAGATTTAGTGAGAGCGTTAGAAGAGCGTATTGATTACTCATGCACATCCTTAATACTAACCTCAGTGGCCACATAAGGCATGTATGCACACATGCATGTAGTTGCTATGTAATTTGTGAGTGTGTATGTATGCGTTTGTGTGCCTGCTCAGTCATGGGCATTCGTTTCACTGCGGTAGAGCTTTGAGAATAGCATTAACCTCTTCAGCCACAGCGGTCAGTGCGAACTCAAACTGATCCTGAGGAGAGGAAAAGCATAGATCAGCATTTCTATTTCACAATCTACTACTCCAACTCTTTTATTAACACTATCAGCACCAGTAAAAAAGATATACAGCAGTTACTGCAAGTGAGGGGAATAGGAGAGGCTGCTGATACTATGGTGTTTTATGGGTACAATAGTGCTTTGATTTTTGATATGGGACTCAGCTCTGCTTTTTTGTCATTCATTACCTTGGTGCGCACCATTCCTGGTCTCTGGTCTCGAATGTGTTCCAGGGTTGCAGCAATATCGATCTCCTTTACTCCTGAGTTGAAAACAAAACAATAAACAACAATTTTCAGTGTGCCCTACTTTCCTAAACACTAACTATTTCTTCACAAGCTTTACAAGTTTCCATCATGTGCTGACCTTTAGCCATGCGGTTCAGAACCATGTCGATCAGGATGTATGTTCCAGTCCGGCCTGTACCATCACTGCACAGAAGAGTGATACTGTGAGAAATACGCTCCGAAAAAACATCTTACCGGTATGTGCAATTTGTGAACATACAGTACATTCAGAATCAATGCAGTACTCAACAAGAATACTGTTTTTATTTCAAAACACCTAATAAAATGAATTTCTTGCATCTTGTCTTTAAATCTTATCAAACTACGCTCCTTTATCTTTCAATTAATTCAAAAACTTTAATTCCTCAAATGCATCAATGTGTTAAAAATACCTGCAGTGCACAATGATGGGGCAGGAGCGGCCACGGTAACACTTATTGACTTTCCTGAGGGACAGAAAAAGAGATTTCCTGAAGGAAATACCAGTGCTTGCAAGGCAGCGGTAGTTTTAAAGTTAGATTAGCTCAGGGCTTAGGCTTTTTAGTTCTGAGTAAATGAAATGATGGTTAGCAATTGTCATGACATGTCGATCTCTGTCAGCTAGTCACTTCGGCGGGTTGAATTTTATATATAGTAAGTAACAGAGCTTGTCTGGGACAAGTAGATTTTTTTGAAGGGGCAAGTGAAAAAGAATTTTACTTGCCCGACCGGACAACAAATGTGATTAAAACATCTAATTAGGGAATCACCAAAATTTCAGCGAGAATGATTCTGATTTTATTACATTTGGTGCAAACAGCCAAAGAAAACATTTATAGTGGATAATGTACTGACAGTGACAAGGTCGTGCAGTTGAGGCTCACGCAGCCTGTCTGTGTCTGAAAGAATCTCGTGAAGAAATCAAAACAAATGAACGCAACCGCACACAGAAGAAATATACTGCAGTAAAAATGTAGTTTTTATATTTATAACATATGATATAGCCTAGTTAAGAAACATGACACGACCAAAAGAGTGCAGTTTACCCTGAAAACCAGAATGAAATCAATTTAAGTACATTTTTGTATGCAGTCGTGAACTTTAATCATATAAAATGTAAATTCGCAGCAACAAAATTATGGCCGGTGAAAATGCTGAGTGGCAAGTAAATTTGGAAAACCACTAGCCACAGTGGCTGGTGAGCAAAAATTTTATGTCAAGCCCTATGTATGCAGTATAAAGGTTTGCCTGAAGAAGATCATTCAACATCCTTAATGCAAATCTGCCATGATAAACAACAAACATTATAGTTTTTAAAATTTAATCTCTACATTTTTAATTACATTAATGCCTATAGAAATCTGTATAAACTTAGTTTAAAAAAAAACTATATACTGTATATACACTACCGTTTAAAGGTTTGGGGTTGGTATGATTTTTTTATGTTTTTGAAGTTTATTATGCTCATTAAGGCTACATTTATTTGACTTGAAGTCTATATGTGACTCTGGACCACAAAACCTCTTAAGTCGCTGGGGTATATTTGTAGCAATAGCCAGAAATACATGGTATGGGTCAAAATGATTGATTTTTTTATGCCAAAAATCATTAGGATATTAAGTAAAGGTCATGTTCCATGAAGATATTTTGTAAATTTCCTACTGTAGATATATTAAAACTAAATTTTTGATTGGTAATATGCATTGCTAAGAATTTCATTTGGACAACTTTAAAGGCAATTTTCTCAGTATTTAGATTTTTTTTTGCACCTTCAGATTCCAGATTTTCAAATAGTTGTATCTCGGCCAAATATTGTCATATCCAAACAAACCATACGTCAATTGAAAGCTTATTTATTCACCTTTCAGATGATGTATAAATCTCAATTTTGAAAAATTGACCCTTATGACTGGTTTTGTGGTCCAGGGTCACATATGGTTTGATTTGAAAGATACAGAAAAAGGTTACTCAATTACACAATTAGAAAACTGTTTTCTGTTATAATATATTTGAAAATGTTATTTATTCCTGTGATGGCAAAGCTGAATTTTCAGACATTATTTAGGTGTCACATGATTCTTCAGAAATTATTCTAATATGCTGATTTGGTGCTCATTAAATATTTATCAATATAATCAATGATAAAAAACAGTTTTGCTACTTAATATTTGTGTGAAAACCGTGACAGATTGTTTAAAGGGGTCATATGATGTGATTTCAATTTTTCCTTTCTCTTTTGAGTGTTACAAGCTCTTGGTGCATAAAGAAGATCTGTAAAGTTGCAAAGACTAAAGTCTCAAATCCAAAGAGATATTCTTTATAAAAGTTAAGAGTCAACCACACCTACCTAAAACCTACCACATGTCTACGTCACGATGTGGGAAGATTTGCATAACACCGCCCAAATGTTCACGCAAAGAAAGAAGGCATAACTTTGATTCTTGCTGTAGTATTGTTGTTGCCGTGTGTTTCGTTGTGAAAGCGAAACTACTTTGTTTGGTCTTCCAAAAGTGGACGATATCTGCTTCGTCATGCCTGGAGCTGATCCGTGCTGGTCGCTGAGGAAATACATCAACTTCGCGCTGTGGATCGCCGGATCGGCT